TTGTACACGGCTTGATATGCAGAGGGATTTATAGTTCGTATATGAGCTTTAAACTGCATTATATTCTTCCGCTTGCACAGTCACAGTCAAAGCAATTAGTTCTCTCAAAGGAAAGAATACATCCTGAAAAATCCCCCCCCCCCCCCACAGAGAAAGTGTAGCGGGAGATTAGCGGCGGTCACGGAGATCTGATCGGGGTTTGGCGGCGAGCGAGAGGAAATAGCGGCGTTTTATTTAAAGCAATCACGGAATTAATGCAGCAAAAAAAAAGAGTCGAGTCTCCAGCAAATTTCCCCTCAGCGAGGAGCAGGACGGCGAAAGGGAAACCTCATCGAGGACGAACTCGACCGCGTTGCAACTGAAATGAGAACACACAGGAACAGGAAGCGGCTTTTCAGTCTGAGCTGTTTTCTTGTTATATTTAGTCCGAATAAAGTGACGGAGCTCCAGATGTCAACCAGAAAACCCCCGTGTTTCTTCTACTAATCCCTCCACCCGTCAGCCCTCCGACTCTCCTCCATCACCCGGACGGTTTGCGGCTCCGAGAACACAGACGAAGGCCGTCGCCTCCCACCGAGCCAGATGGTCAAAAGGTCGTCCTTCTCCATCGGCTCAATATGCTTCTTCCCCTTTTCAATGCGTCCTCTTTCTCATTTGGCAGCTCATTCTTCTTCACCACGAGCCCTCCCACTGCCCCCCCCCCCCTCCCCCCCCCCGCCCACCACCACCTCCCACCTCCCACCCACCCGCCCCCCCCCACTACAGACTTTGTCTCTCTGAAGGCCTGACTGGTTATCGCCCCGGCCGATCCGTCAGCGGCCGCATGACTGGTTCCCCGGAAAATAAAAAGATAAAAAGCAGGCCAGGGGCTCCCTCTTTGTGGGGGGGGGGGCAGAAGAGAAGGGGCCATTCAGGCCCATTTGAGCGGCGCCTCCCTTCACCGCGGCTGAGCGGGGACCATAATTGGCAGAACAAATTGAACCTATAGGGGCTTTTTTTAAGAGTCTGCTACGCTAGTAGACGTCTGCAAAACAAGCGCCCCCCCCGTAGAAACGGATTGGATACAGTGGCGTTGCCGGACTTTGGGGATAATTCGCAGGATGTTGTCGGGACACGGTGGGTTTCACGCCTCCTCCTGAAGCTCGTGAAGGCCACGACTTGCTCTGTGTCGCGGCACCTTTATTCCTTTATTAGGAAGAGAACATTTCACGGCTGTCGAGAGTCATGCGTCCGCTCCGTTACGTCGTTACCACTCCATTATCCTCCATCATCAGCACAGTACAAAGTAAAGGCAACAGTTAAATAAGGAAACGTTACGCACTAAATAAGAGACAATCTGGACTCACTTTTTGAGCGAAAGGTCAACAGGGAGTAAGCGAGAGTTAATTCCTTCTCCTTTAGTCACCAGCCGCCACTTTTTATTCACTGACGAGGAGCCACGACCAACGCTGCCGACTTGATCCGAGGGAAAACCACAACTTCAGTACCACTTAAAAACTTTGGATTGGCTTTGTTGTCTCACCAGAGTTATGGCCGACGTTTCAAAGGCTTTTTTTTTTTTTTTAAACCAGAGGCTCCACTGAATAAACACTCCGACTCCCAAGATTGAGAGTTAAATAAGCTCTTAAAAGCTCTGAGCACTCCGATGGAAACCTAACTTTTGTCATTATTTTTAATTAGCCGGGGACGGGAGGAGATTCCAGGCCGCCGGCTGGTCACGCGGCAGCTTTTCACGTCTGATTTTTTGCCCGCGGGTCGAACCAAGGTGGGGAAGTTATTGTGTCGTCCGCCGAGGGATCCGTGAACACACGAGCCGGCGACCTTCACGCCGAATGTCGGGAGAGATTGTGAGACGTCGCGTTTGGCACCAGGTTGAGAGACTGAACCGTGACATTAAACCGCCATCACCACGCTTTCCTGTTTGGCGTTTTTTTCCCGCTGTGTCTTCTTTAAGATCCCGGTGACCTTTACGCCCCCCCCCCCCCCCCGGCAGCCCATTTGCAGGGTATCGACTTTCACTCCGCCGTGTTAAACTCGGAGCGCCGCGCTCGCTGTAGAGCCTCTCCGCCGAGACAAGAGGCGGCATTCTGTTTGGGATAAAAGGCTCCCGGGCCGTTTGATGCGGTATTCCGGCGGGAGGGGGGACGAGGGGGGGGGCCAGGGGGTAGGCGGGGACCTTGGCCTTGATGAGCTGACAGGAGCTGAGGAGACGTGGGGCCTCGGAGCAGCAGGACCTCAAACCTCGGGGCGTGGCGGGCC